GAAATTTCCGATTGCTCGAACAATAGAAGGTTACCTTTGGCCAAAAATTCGATTTTCTACTAGAAGAACATAATTTAAAAGGAGTTTTTTCACATTTATCTTATATTTACCGTTCTCCTGCTTACTTTTTTACCATTTCCTCTTATCGTAGCCGATTTTTTAGAGCTTTAAAACGTTGTTTTCCCCAATTTAAATATAAATTTAGATTTCTACTGCTAGTACATTTATCTCCACCTACTTTTGCGTTGTTTATCATTTTTTTAAATTTTTAAGAATTCGTGGATACTTTGTATTTTTATTATTGGGAATAAACCGTTTGTTTTTATTGACCGATTGGATAATAAAATTTTTTTCTCCAATTTGTTTATCCAGAAAATCTTTAACATATTTACGCTTGCTATAAACAAACACTTAGTATGATTATTATCTTACCTGATATACGAAATAATTGCTGATTGTCGTGCGTTTGAACAATTAATGTGTAACCGTTTGCATGCACTGTCGTGTATGTACATTTATAAAAGAAAATCAATAATGTGATTTTATAACATATATAATTGAAGCCAATAATATTAACTGAGAGAGCGGCTAAGTTACAGATTTACCAATATTTACATTAGTTTATTATTGTTTATCAAATTTACCTCTGTCTGTGCCAATTTCGCTCTGTCAACTTTTTGCGCATCTGCACAAACACTTAGCCTTGGCACCGCTAATTGTTGTGCAGCTTTCTCCTTTTCCTTCGCCTCTTTATCTGTAAATATAATGTAAATAAATTTGTCTGGAACGAGGTTTATCTCAATCTCCGTTTAAAATGTAAAGAAGAAGAAAAATCCATTAATCCATATTAATTCTTCAAATTAATATCTCATAGAGTTAGTTATCTGCTATTATAAAAAATGAGCTTCTATTACAATAAAATCTAAATCTAAATAATAATGATATTATACTTACTGCTGCAATCCTGTGAACTAGCCCAACGTTTTCGATCCTCGGATTGCAAAGTGTTTCCGCTCCCGTGTTTCTTGATGCTCCTTCCCCAGCCAGCAGTGATTGTGCCGAGCCTCGAGAATGCCCGCTTCATCATTGGTGACGAGGGCACGCTTTTAGGTCTAAACAAGTCAGAGCCAGTATCTCACAGAAACCGCAGAGCGGCACCTCAGGATACGGAGAGGAAATTCTTCTTGAGAGAGAAAGATCATCGAGATCGGAACAAATTGGATCCATGATGGAACGTTCCAGGAATGGAATTATTTATTTTTTTTCCAAAGGTTTGATCGGGTTTAAGTGGACGTTCCTGAACGCATCGAATAATAGCAGTAAAAATGGACATTACGAGACAACGACGAAAGCTCGTCTCCTTCGTTCGCAAAAATTGGAGAATGCCAATATAGAGAATATAGAGAAACCGAGCAGAGACAAGATTAAGAGATAATAAATTCAATTAATTCGTTCTCGAACGTGTTTACCGCATGCCTATATAGCCAGATCGTATGCCATAATCGTTTGTAAATAAATTTTTAAGATATCGAACATGTTTTTAACCCTTTGCGGACGAAACAATTGGAAGAAACAACAAACATTAACTCATATCACTTTTATATAATTATCTGTGTATTAAAAATACAAAATATATTATATTTTATATATATCAATTAATTATAACTGTATTTATGTAAGTAGAAATGATTGTTCAATAATAGAAACTAACTGTTCAAGCACTATAAAATTTTCTCTGTATAAAGTTTTATTATCTCAAAATTCATCAAACGGTTATGAAAACAAAGCGAAGAATTTTGATTTTCTTTTCTTTTCTTTAAATACTTCTATTTACACTAATAAAACAATCAATATTTAATATAGATAAATATAATATAATAATAGATGAATTTGAAAATTCTATTTGCGAGTACATTCGCCAGCAAAGGGTTAAAATTGAGAGAAAAACCGAGAATTCGAGAGATAGAAGGCAAACAGAGCACGCACGGCAAAGGAAAATGAAATAAAATATAAAGAAGAAAAAGAAAGAAAAAAAGAAAAAAAAAAGGAAAATCGACACGTCTATCACGACCGAAGCTAATAAGATAGATATATATTAATAATAATTAGCATGGCTGGTGTGATAATTCGATAGTTATTCTTGCAGTGCTTTTTTCAACGTTTTCAATTCGTTTTTAAATTATAATTTCGAATAATTAAACATGCTACACAATATAATCATTCAAAAGACAAGGAAAATATAAGACACCGGATTTCAACTATATCTTGCATCGCAAAAAATTCAATTTGCGTATATAATATAGAATATAATACGGAAATTTTGTCAAAAGTGAAAATACTTATATAATCACATGCGGTGCTGTGTGTAATTGTTTGTATATGCACGTGTATACAAGTGTGTAAGTGTGTGTATGTGTGTGAGGATAGGAGACATGGAAGTGCCGTAAAAAATACACATAATTACGATTAAATGTACGATATATAATATATAATATAAAGATAAATATATATAATTACATTCGACAACGACATCAAAGGCAAGTTCAATCTCACCGTTACTTCCGGCTTTTTTTACTTGCTAAATAAATCCAGTTATATCCTTATCTTAATCCATTTACATTAACCCATTTCTTTCGTGGACTAAAAAATTCGAATTGAAAATAAAATAAAATAGAAATGTTAAGATAGGATAGGATTATGATAAGGATTCGTGTATATTTGTTTCCATGCAAGTCCTTTTTGATTAAAACGAAAATATTTTACTAGTTAATATTCTGTAAAAAAGATTTTAATCAGGGGAGGATAGGAATGAAATAAATATTTTAACACAGGAAAGGAAAGTTGAAAATAAAAGAGAAGAAAAAATACAATTGATTGATTCTTTAATTTACAAAAAATAATATAAACAATATAAATTATAATAATATAATATAATAAAATAATACAATATAACAATATAATAAAACTATATTACTAATTATATAAAAATCTAAAAATAAATATTACAAAATCTAATACATATAATTTAATTAATATATTGTTAAATTTAAATTACGTATAATATTATAATATAATGTATTTATAAAAAAAATAAAAATTGTAAAAAAAAAAAAAGGAATAATTTTCTTTATAATTAGAAAAAAATGGATTGATGAATACATTGCATCTGAATTATATAATTGTCAATAAATATTTTTATTTGTTGCATATATATTAATTAACTTTGATATATATTGATATATAAACTGGATTTGAAAATAAAAATGCACAATTCTAATTAACAAAAGTAATTCGCAAGATACAAACCTTGGACTTTCCACGTCAGGAACCTGAAGAAAGTTTGAACTTCTTGGTTTCTGTGGACTGAATAATGTGGGCACTGGCCTAGCAAGTAATTCGGCAACCGGTACTTGTGGACTTCCAAAACCAGCTTGAATTCCATATAACATTTCTTGGAAGACTCTAGAACAAATTTAAAAAAATCAGTAATTTTATACGATCTTATTCAAATGTCAATTTATTATTTATATTCTTGATATATTTAATTTTTAAATAAGAGTTTCAAAAATTTAAGACAATATTATAAAAATAGTAATAAATTAATATTATAAAAATAGTAATAATGTAATAACAGTGAAATGAATAAAAAAAAAATGAAATAGAATTTTGTGAAAAGAAATTTATTTTGATATCAATTTTACATATATTTGAAAATTATTTACATTAATAACATGGAATATAATTTAATTTCTTGATTGCAGATCCAGTACCTGCTTCTGACCGCCAAAATCGCTCTAACGCCGAAGAATCGAACTTTCTGCTTCTGTGGACCATGCACCAAGAACGAAATGTCGAACAGATTCGTATTTAACGTGGCATTCTCTTGATCGTTCAAGAACACTTTAGTGAAGTCCTTGGCAAGTTGGTCTGGATCCTCGAATTGATCCCTGACGGAATCCAAAAGCGGCG